CGTCCTTTTAAGCGATATTTTATACATAAATGTAAAAGAACCATGCAGCGTTTAAGGTTCGAACCTTAGTCAGAGAGCAGGTGTTGATGGCGGGGCTAATCAGATCATATGTATTAGTATGCCGCGTTAGCTTAGTAAGAGTCTTGTTCTACGATGCGATGTGTGGTGCATCCCCTTGCTCGCAGGCAATAATTTCAGGTTCATGCACTCGGCCTACCAATATTTTGCATACTTCTGACACAGTTACCCATGTCTTTTGTTTTACGAATTCGTATGAGGGACAGCGAGTCCTGAAACATCGTTTGTGATCAGTCAGGTATTGCTCCAGCGAATAAAACGGTACGAGATGTACATAGGCTACAAAGGTTCTCAGAAACGAGAAACCGTTCCCTGGGTAAATCACTTCCTTGGCATCTCAGAATTACGGTACGTTGCTGTACTCTTTAAAACCTCACTTGGAGAAGTTAACCGTTAACCAACGTGCGATTCTCTGATCAATTTTTTGAAAATTTTAATCTTCATCTTCCATCGCCGCTTCTCCTTTCGGGTCGCGGAGGCAGACACGTCAGAGAGAGCTTCCAACGTTCCCGATCTCGTGCCAGAGTCTGAACTTCGGCAAAAGACAAATGGAGTCTAGAACAAACTCCTTCCATACGTTTGCACCAGGTTAATTTCGGCCATCCCCTGGGCCTTTTGCCGGTCGGATTTGCAAGGAACAGTTGCTTATCCTTCCTTTCCGGAGGCATTCGCAACACATGTCCAAGCCATCGCTGCTTAGTTTTCAGACTGAGCTCCACTTTGGTCACAATCGGTTGGGCTGGTTCACGCAGAACGCACTGGCTAGTCCAATTCGCCGGTCGATCTCTTCCTCCAATTTTCCATCACTAGTAAATACAGTTCCGAGGTACTTTAACTTCTCCACCTGCTCCACTGACTCTCCGTTAATCTGAAGAGAGCAACGGACAGGAGAACGAGAAAGCACTAGACTTATCGTTTTAAACGCATTCACATGCATGCGATCACGTCGCACTCGGCTGCAAACCTTTCTAAGGAGCACTGAAGATCAGTTTCAGAAGATGCTAATAAAACAAGGTCGTCTGCGAACTGCAGCCTTCTCGACTTCACATCTCCTACACCGATACCCTCATCGCCTTGGCAGCTCTTGACTATTCTATCCATGTACGACACAAACAGAATAGGGAACAGGACGCAACCTTGGCGGAGACCAACGCGAACGTTGAATGGTTTCGACTTAACGCCATTAAC